CTCACTTAAACCTCACCACAGACTGGGCATGGTGGTTCACGCCTGTAATCCTAGAGCTTTGGGAGGCTGAGGTGGGAGGATCACTTGGGGCCACGAGTTTGAGACCAGTCTGGCCAACATAGTGAGACCCTGTCTCTACAAAAAAAAAATCAACAGCCTGCTGTGGTGTGCACCTGTGGTTTCAGCTACTCGGGAGGCTGAGGCGGGAGGATTGCTTGTGCTTGGGAGTTTGAGGCTACAGTGAGCCAAGATTGCACCACTACACTCCAGCCTGGGTGACAGAGCAAGACTCATCTCTACAAAAAATTTTTAAAAATTATCTGGGTTTGGTGGTGGGCACCTGTAGTCCCAGCTACTCAAGAGGGTGAGACAGGAGGCTCAGTAGAGCCCAGGAATTGGAGCTTGCAATGAACTATGATCTCAACACTGCCCTCCAGCCTGGGTGACAGTGAGACCCTGTGTCAATCAATATATAAATAAATAAACAGACCTCACTTGAGCCTTGGGAGGCAGGGAGTCTTATCCGCAGTATGGCGAGGTTTAAGGACTTTCCTAGAGCCACTCAACTACCATGTGGCAGGGCCAGAGTTCAGAGTGAGCCTGGTGACCGTGGTACCTGTACTCCTGCCTGGCTGCCAGGCAACCTTCCTCCTGTGGGACACGGTGGGCACGTGGCAGGACACGTCATCCCAGCGGGCAGGCAGGTCACCCAGGCCAGCCCTCTGGAGTGACCCTGCCATGCCCAAAGGCTTTTTTTTTTTTTTTGAGATGGAGTCTTGTTCTATTGCCCAGGCTGGAGTGCAGTGGGGTGATGTCAGCTCACTGCAACTTCCGCCTCCTGGGTTCAAGTGATTCTCGTGCCTCAGTCCCCCAAGTAGCTGGGATTACAGGCACATGCCACCATGTCTGGCTAATTTTTGTATTTTTAGTAGAGACGGCGTTTCATCGTGTTGGCTAGGCTGGTCTTGAACTCCTGACCTCAGGTGACTTGCCTGCCTTGGCCTCCCAAAGTGCTGGGGTTACAGGCATTAAGCCACTGCAGCCAGCCTCCAAGGCCATTCTTGAACCAGCCCCACTGGGCTGCCAGGGCCCGTGTCCCACCGGCTCTGTCCTCACAGGGCTTCCCACACATGCCATCCTCACATCCTCAGAACCAGTTTGGCTGGCCCCGACAGCATCTGCTTCAAACCCACACGAAGAAAAATATTTTGGTTTCTCATGTGGTGGATCACAGGCTGTTCCTGGCGGGTTTGAGCCTGGCTATTGCCTCGAAGAAACGAGAGCCAGAAACCTGGAAGGTGACACGTGCTGCTCGAAAGTGGAAGTGGAAGCTTTGTGGTGAGCTTTGTGCTGGGCTCATGAGAGCTACTAGGCTGTGGAGTGGGACAGGCTTGGGCTTCATTCAACGCTTCGCCACCTCCCAGCTGCTGTGTGACCTTAGAAAAGTCACCTCACCTCTTCGAGCCTCATTTCCTAATCTGGAAACTGAGAGTCAAAATGGTACCTAACTCAGGGTTATTTGAAGAGCCACCGAAATGCAGTGGTGGTAGCCACATGTACACAATGTTAATTTCTTTCTTTTTTTTTTGGAGACAGAGTCTCACTTTGTGGCCCAGGCTGGAGTGCAGTGGCGTGATCTTGGCTCACTGCAACCTCTGCCTCCCAGGTTCAAGCGATTCCCTGCCTCAGCCTCCCGAGCAGCTGGGATTACAGGCATGTGCCACCATGTCTGGCTAATTTTTGTATTTTAGCAGAGATGGGATTTCACCATGTTGGCCAGACTGGTCTTGAACTCCTGACCCCTAGTGATTCGCCCACCTCAGCCTCCCAAAGTGCTGGGATTACAGGCATGGGCCACTGCGCCCAGCCCACAGTGTTAATTTCATAGTCGTCTGGCATCTGTAACCCACCTTCCTTTTTGGGGTAGAGTTAGGATTTACAGAATGCTGTTTTCTGGGCAATTTGGTCTCCGCAGCCTAAGTTTCCAGCCGTAAAAAAGGAATCTCAGAGTAGGAGCAGGACAGCATTTCTCTCCGCTAGATCCAGAGGGCAGGGGAATGACTTTTAGCAATGAGGCCATTGCACCATGGCCTGGCCCTCACGGCCACCTGAGAGCAGGGATGGCAAGGTGATGCTCACCCTCAGCCTGGTCCTGACCTCACAATCTACAGGCAGCTCCAAGATATCTCTGAACAGGACCTCTCACAGGTGTCTGTAAAGGGCCGCCCTCCATAGATTCACTCAGGGCCGGCCAGGCAGTATCTCCATCCATTCCCTGTTGCCGTGGCCTGTTCAGGATGATCATGGGCCCTGGGCGGGTCCAAATGAGCCTCATTCCTGGGCTATTGCTGGGAAAATGTGCAGGAAGAGCCTTCTTCCCCCTGGAGTTGCTGTGCTGAGGGGACAGGGCTGCAACTGCAGGTGTAAAGAGATATTCAGAAAGAACAGCACATGGAGGAAACCTTTCTAAGAAGGACAGCAACGTAGAATCACCTGATGGGGCCAGGCGTGGTGGCTCATGCCTGTAATCTCAGCACTTTGGGAGGCCGAGGCTGGTGGATCGCGTGAACCAGGAGTTCAAGACCAGCCTGGGCTACATGGGAAGACCCTGTCTCTCCAAAAAATACAAAAATTAGCCGGGCGTGGTGGTGCATGCCTGTAGTCCCAGCTACTCAGGGAGGCTGAGGTGGGAGGATTGCTTGAGCCCGGGAGGTTCAGACTGCAGTGAGCCGTGATCGTGCCACTGCACCGCAGCCTGGGCAACAGAGTGAGACCCTGTCTCAAAACAAGAAAAAAAGAAACCTTAGGCCAGGCATGGTGGCTCATGCCTGTAATCCTAGCACTTTGGGAGGCCGAGGTGGGTGGATCACCTGGGGTCAGGAGTTCGAGACCAGCCTGGCCAACATAGTGAAATGCCGTCTCTACTAAAACATAAAAATTAGCCAGGCATGGTGGTGGGCAGCTGTAATCTCAGCTACTCGGGAAGCTGAGGCAGGAGACTCGCTTGAATCCAGGACACAGAGGTTGCAGTGAGCTGAGATTGCGCCACTGCATGCCAGCCTGGGCAACAAAAGCAAAACTCCATCTCAGAAAAAAGAAAAAAGAAACCCCAGATCTGGGCGAGGCCCTGCATACAGCCGTGCCTGAAACCCTTTTCCTACAAGAGCTAATGAATTCCCTTTGTAGCTTAAACCTGTTCAAATTGACATGTGACTGAAGAGCTGCCACGCGGGCTAGATAATAATGCCCCCTACCTTCAAATGAGAGAATAGATACGAAAGCTCTGGGCTCCTGTAAGGGACTGGTATTGTTATGACCATTGGCACCCAAAGGGTGAGGCTGGGGTCTCAGCTTTGTCACTTACAAACCTCGAGTACCTTACTTCACTTCTTAAGCCTCAGTGTACTTACCTGTGCAATGGGATGCTATTGTACTATTTCTCAGTGGTTATGAGAATGAAATAAGATTTAAAAAGTTCTTGGCATGGTGCCTGGCATATGATAAGTACTTGATCCAATGTAGTCCTTGTTTAATGACAACAAATGGTAACAGTGAATGTGGCCACAACTACTACTGCTAGTAATAAAAGCAGTAATCACAGTAGTGAGGGTGGTAACCACCAAGAGTGGTGGGCCCAGCCTGCGGACTAGCCAGGTGCCAGGCTGGGAAACCCGGTTTCCTACTCAGCCCTCCCTACTCAGCCCCTAGCAACGTTGCCTTTGACTGAGGTGGCACCGACTCTGTGGCACCTCCTTCTTCCAACAGGTGCCATCCTGAGCACTTGGAGGCCAGCTTGTTTACCCTCCAGACCAAGGGACGCAGGTGACGTAGGCCAGGAAGGCTGGGCCCTCAGAGGCTTAGGCTTTAAGCCAGCCTCTCCTTCATCACCAGGGGCCTGGTGGGTGATAGCAGGGTGCTGCAGTGCTGTGTGTGCACCTGCCAGACCATACTCTTCTTTGGGGACAGCTCCCTGATCTCTCTTTGGGGACCTTAAGATTCTGGGGGACTGTATTTGGCAATTAAAAATACAAATAAAAAAATTAAAATTAAAATTTAATTTAAAAAAATTAGCCAGGCATGGTAGGGCACACCTGTAATTCCAGCTGCTTAGGAGGCTGAAGTGGGAGGATGGCTTGAGCCCAAGAGTTTGAGGCTACAGTGAGCTATGATCATGCCATTGCACTCCCACCTGGGCGACCCCGTGCCACCATGACACCCCATCTCTATACAAATATATATGTATAAAATGCTCAAGAAAAACAACAAATGATTTATTTGTATGTGTCTCCAGTATTGTATGGATGTACATATACTAAAAAATCAGTTTTTCAGCCGGGGTCGGTGGCTCACGCCTGTAATCCCAGCACTTCGAGAGGCTGAGGTGGGAGGATCACCTGAGGTCAGGAGTTTGAGACCAGCCTGGCCAACATGGTGAAACCCCGTCTATTAAAAATACAAAAATTAGCTGGGCGTGGTGGCATGCACCTGTAATTCCAACTACTCAGGAGGCTGAGGCACGAGAATCACTTGAACCCAGGAGGCAGAGGTTGCAGTGAGCCGAGATCGCGCCACTGTACTCCAGCCTGGGCAACGAGAGCGAGACTCCATCTCAAAAAAATAATAATAAAAATTCAGTTTGTATATCTGAAATTCAAATTCAACCAAGCAGCCTGATTGTTATCTGGCAACCCTGGGAACTGTGCCCCCGCCACCCTTGGACCATGTGATTCTCCTGGGGGCCAAACTGGCTTCAGGTCTGGGCAGATGAATTCAGGTGTGACCAATCAGAGCAGCTTATCTAGCTGGCCACACTGACTGGGTCAGAGATGGGCGCACAACCCAGGCAGGGGCTAATGAGTGTTGGCCTGGGAGCTGGCAGTGGAAGGAGGGGCTTGAGACCCTTTCCCTTAAACCAATTTTGGTCTCTCTCAAGCCATTACGGATGCCCTTCTGCCATCAGGGCACCCCGGCTGCCCAGTCAAATGAAGAACACAGCTGGACTCAGTGTTTTCTGCGTTTATTTTCTAGAGTAAATTAGGTGCCACCTGGCAGGGTCCCCACACCTGATGCCCTTCCATCTCTCCACCACCCCTGCCCCAGAGGCCAGCCAAGGCCCGGAAGGAGAAGACCATATGGCCCGCCTGCCTGTTCCTCTCTGGGGTGGACGGAGACTGGCACTGGGAGGGAAGTGGTCTGCCACCAGGAGAAGGTGTTCTGAGGGGTCTCCAGGGCCTGGCCGGGACCAGGATCAGGCCAGGTAGGGACAAGGGTAGGAACCAGGTGAAGATACAACTAATTCCTGCATCCTGCACCAGCACCGTGATCCTACGGAGCCCTTGGCCAGGAACGGGCCAGTTGCTGCTGGCCTCTTTGTTGAAGGACACAAGCTCTGGCCTGGAGAGCTACCCTCTCCACCCTTTGGAGAGGGCACCATAGAGTGAGGCCTCGGGCAACAGTCTCGGCTGCTCAGTGAGTTCAAGCCACTGGGGTGGGCAGGGGCAGGGTTAGATGGCATCACCCTCACTGTCAGACTCGATGACGTCCAGTGGCTGCAGACGCAGGGAGTCATAGTTGGGGGGCGGGGTGCCCGGGATGGGCAGGGCCTGCTCACTGGGGTAGGGCCCGGTGTTGGGGCTGCGGGGGGCCGTGTCAGGCTGGTAGCCGAAGTTGGTGTGGGCCTCCACCAGCTCAGCCACCGTGGGCGGTGGGCCGGAGTAGCTGGCTTGGGCTCGCCGCTGCCGGAGGCTCTTGGCCAAGGCCACCAGCTTGATGATGGTGATCCACACAAAGTCGATGATGATCTCCCCAAACTCGATGAGGCACAGCACAGAGCCCCCCATCCAGAAGCCAAACTGGCCACCCAGATTCGAGAGCAGCCAGACGAGCTGTGGGGAACGGGGAGCTGGGGTGGGCTCAGGCCACACATTCTTGCCTCTAGTCCAGACTCACAGGTTCCTGGGAGGTGATTCTTGGGTGGGAATGGGAGGCGGTGACCATCTTGGCCCAGGGGAATAACTTGGGACTGCTTTGGGGATCTCCTAATCCCTCCATAGGGCTCAGAACCCTTCCCCCACCCTCAGGGTGCAGGGGTCAGGGCAGGGCAGTGCTGGGGTATCAGGAGCCTCATAAACTCACGTTATTGGCTGCTGATTCTTCAATGGTGCGATAGTTAAATTCTTGGAAGTAGATGTTGAGCTTGACAATTCCCTTCCTGCAGGAGGCAGCGAGAAGGGCCAGGACTAATGTATCCCCCTTCCAGACAGGCAGACAGACACATGCGTGTACATAGACACATGCACACACATGCATGTGCACACACACCCTACATGTATGCACACACACCCACATGTATGCACACATGTATGCACCCACATGCACCCACACACCCATGCACACATGCACATGTGAACACACACAGGAAGGCAGCCAAGGAATGGCCGCCCCAGCCCTCCTCTATCCTGAGCTTCTCTCATGCATGCTCCCATGAGTGGTGAAGTCCAAATAAGAATTGCAAGTGCAGCCCTTCCCAGCCCCTCTGGGCATCTCCACCCAGCACCCATCCTATGGCCCCCTTCCTCCACCCCTTGCCTACCAGTTCCCTACAGGACACTCTGGCCTGGGACAGCCCCAAAGATCTGCTCCGAGCTCCCCACTTTGTACCCTCAGGGTGGCCCGGGTTACACGCAGTGACTCTGCACAGAGCTCTTCACTGAGCCATGAGCACCTTCACTGCACCTGGGACAGAAAGGGGTGGCTGTGTGGGCTTCCCCTCCCACGTGGTGGTCCTCAGAAAGGCTGTGCTATCTCGTGTCTCCAGGGTTCCAAGCTTTGTCTTCCGCCTGGACATTGGTGCCTCTTCTTATTTGAACAGCACTTACTCCTCCTTGGAGAGTTCACTCAAAGCCACCTCCCTACGCAGACCTCCCTTATCTCTCAGGCAGACTAAGGCTCCTTCCCTGATGTACTCAGACCCTCCTCTCCTTAAGCCCTTTTTGCATATGTTTGCCCCCTGAACTCCTGCTAGCTTGGACTGTGTGTCTTTCTTGTGCTCAACTAATGTTTTTGTTGAGTGGATGGAGAGATCCATGAATAAATGGAGGATGGCTGGGTGTGTGGGTGGGAGAATGGAGGGGTGGATGGGTGGAGGATGGCTGGGTGCGTGGGTGGGAGAATGGAGGATGAATGGGTGGAGGATGGCTGGGTGCGTGGGTGGGAGAATGGAGGATGAATGGGTGGAGGATGGAGGATGAATGGGTGGAGGATGGCTGGGTGCGTGGGTGGGAGAATGGATGATGAATGGCTGGAGGATGGCTGGGTGTGCGGGTGGGAGAATGGAAGGGTGGATGATGGAGGGATGAATGGGTGGAGGATGGCTGGGTTCGTGGGTGGTTGATGGAGGATGAATGGGTGGAGAATGCTGGGTGTGTGGGTGGATGATGGAGGATGAATGGGTGGAGGATGGAGGGTGGAGGAGTGGAGGATGGCTGGGTGTGTGGGTGGGAGAATGGAGGATGAATGGGTGGAGGATGCCTGGTGCGTGGGTGGAAGAATGGAGGATGAATGGGTGGAGGATGGCTGGGTGTGTGGGTGGAAGATGGAGGATGAATGGGTGGAGGATGGCTGGGTGCGTGGGTGGATGATGGAGGATGAATGGGTGGAGGATGCTGGGTGTGTGGGTGGAGGATGGAGGATGAATGGGTGGATGATGGCTGGGTGCGTGGGTGGGAGGAGAATGGTGAGAGCTGGGTGGAGGGGATGGGTGGGTGGTGGGGGTGGGAGAATGGATGAGGTGGAGGATGGCTGGGTGTGCGGGTGGGAGAATGGAAGGGTGGATGATGGCTGGGTGCGTGGGTGGATGATGGAGGATGAATGGGTGGAGGATGCTGGGTGTGGGGGTGGATGATGGAGGATGAATGGGTGGAGGATGGCTGGGTGTGTGGGTGGATGATGGAGGATGAATGAGTGGAGGATGGCTGGGTGTGGGGGTGGGAGAATGGAGGATGAATGGGTGGAGGATGGCTGGGTGTGTGGGTGGATGATGGAGGATGAATGAGTGGAGGATGGCTGGGTGCGTGGGTGGGAGAATGGAGGATGAATGGGTGGAGGATGGCTGGTGCGTGGGTGATGAAGAATGGGGAGGATGGTGGGTGAAGATGGGTGATGGGTGGAGTGGTGGGTGATGGTGGAGATGAATGGGTGGAGGATGCTGGGTGTGTGGGTGGAGGATGGAGGATGATTGGATGGCTGGGTGGACAGTGACAGAGGGAAACACAGGCTCCTCCTTAGCAGCTGGTAGACTCAGAGTCCCCGTGGCTGCCTTTCCTCTCTCTCACTCCTAGTGCCTCCTCCTGGAGACTTGCTCCTGGGTCTGACCCATGTGAGAAGGTGTCTGAGGAGCTGTCCTATGTCCAAACTCCTGCCCCGAGTTTCTGGACCCTCTTCCCTGCTTCCCCAGCCCCGCCCAGGCTCAGGCTCACCTGCTCAGGGTGATATTGGTGCTTTGGTCCCGCTCCTGAGACAAGACGTGGAAAATCCAGTCCTGGAACCCAAGAAGGCGGCTGCAAAAGTTGCCATCTGCAGCATCCCTCCCAGTCATGGCCCTCCTCCCTGGGGGAGGTAGACCACAGCCCTGTCCCTTCCCAAGGCCCCTGGGGGAATCACAATTTGGATGGGGAGCAAGAGGAAGGTTGTAGTGGAAGCTGTGGCTGCTGTTCTGGGGAAGAAGGGATTCGGGTCTCCAGACTCTTCCCCGGCGGGCCTGGCCACCCTGTCTGGCTCTTTCCCACCTCTGGTCCTCATGCTTCCTGCTCCCTCTGCCTGGAATCCTCCTCAGCTCTGCCCATGTTGACTCAGCCTCTGCCTCCAGGTGTCAGCTCCAATGTCACCTTCTTAGAGAGACCTTCCTTGACCACGCTATCTAACATGTTTTCCCAGAGGGTGGGCATGGTGGCTCATGCCTGTAATCCCAGCATTTTGGGAGAGCTGGTGTGGGAGGATTGCCTAAGGCCAGGAGTTCAAGACCAGCCTGGGCAACATAGCGAGACTCCATCTCTTTAAAAAGTTTAACAATTAGCCAGGCCTGGTGGCATATGCCTGTGGTCCCAGCTGAGGACCACAGCTGAAGCAGGAGGATCACTTAAGCCCAGGAGTTTGAGGCTTCAGTGAGCCGTGATCATACCACTGCACTCCAGCCTGGGCGACAGAGCAAGCCCCTGTCTCCAAAAATAAAAAATAAAGTAAAAATACAAAAATAAAGTAGTTTCCCCCAGTTACTCTCTCCCATCATCAGTTTATTTATTTCACAGCCATAATCACACTTTGAAATGATTTTATTTCTGTTTGTGATCTTGGCCCTCTCCTATTGAAAGGATTATGTCTGTCTAATTCTGTGTTGTGTACATAGCACACTGCCTGGGAGAATATTGGTGGAAGGAAAGAAGGAAGGAAGGAAAGAAGGAAGCAGGGAGGGATGAAGAAAGGGAGGAAGGAAGGAATGAAGGAACGAAGGAAACAGGGAAGGAGGGAGGGAGAAGGAAGGAAGGAAGAAAAGAAGGAAGGAAGGACAAAAGGAAGGAAGGAAATGAGAAGGGAGGGAGAAAGAAAGGAAGGAAAGAAGGAAGGGAGAAGGGAGGGAGAAGGAAGGAAGGAAGAAAAGAAGGAAGGAAGAAAGGAAGGAAGGACAGAAGGAAGGAAGGAAATGAGAAGGGAGGGAGAAAGAAAGGAAGGAAAGAAGGAAGGGAGAAGGGAGGGAGAAAGGAAAGAAGGAAGAAGGGAAGGAGAAGGAATGAAGGAAGGAAGAAGGGACGAAGGAAGGAAGAAGGAAGGGAGAAGTGAGGGAGGGAGGAAGGAAGGGAGAAGGAAGAAAGGAAGAGAAAAGGAAGGGAGGAAGGAAGGAAGGAAGGAATGAAGATGGAAGGAAGAAATAAAGCAGACAAAGGAAGGAAGGAGGGAAAGAGAGAAGGAGGGAAAAAGGCACCCCTTCCAAATTTCCAAATAGCCCACATCTTATGCCCCGACTTGTCCCCAGCCCAAAGCTGAGGGCCAGGAACTCGGCCCCCAACTGTCTCACCTCAGAGGCCTCAGAAGGCCAGTCAGCCATGGAGATAGTCATCTTGTACTGGGTGTCACTGAAAGAGAAGGTCAGGCCTGTTGCGGTCCCTGCCAGTGATGCCCCTCCATGCCCGCCTGCTGCTGTGCCCGCCCACCCGCACTCACTTGCAGGATTCCTTGCACATGCCAATGCAGGTCTCTCTCTGCGCCACGCTCATCTGCAGATCTGAGTAGCAATGGGCTGCGCAGGAGACAGACAGGTGGCCAAGAGGTTGGAGGGGGCTTTCTAGCCCCGGTCCCCTGCTGAGCCTCTGGCTGGCCCCTCTGCTCTCCTGGCCCTGTGGTCAGGTGGCGGGAGGAGGTGTCATGAACAATCACCGCTCCCTACCCAGCCCCCGACCTCCAGCCATTTCACCCCAGTCTGGCCTGGGTCCCAGCTCAGGGGGGTCAGAGCAGCTTTCCTTTTGCCGGCCATCCCCATCCCTGCCTGGGGGACGGGGTTATGGGGTCATGAACAAAGGGTGGGTGACTGGAAGGAATAACGTTTTCCCGTTTGGTTTGTGTTGGTTGTAAGTGGTGAGTCTCCTGCTGACAGCATTCTTTTTATTCTCTCTCTTTTTTTTTTCTTCTCTTTTCTTTTTTTCTTTTTCTAGAGATGGGGCTTTGCCATGTTGGCCAGGCTGGTCTCGAACTCCTGGCCTCAATTGATCATCTTGTCGCAGCCTCCCAAAGTGTTGGGATTACAAGCATGAGCCACCGCACCCTGCTGACAACATTCATCGGTGGTTGGACTCCAGACCGCCAGGGCTCCCAGGCCCCAGCTCCAATTGCTTGTGAGCCCAGCAGGGCTCTTCTTCCCGCTGTGACTTCAGGTTTCAAGTCCTCGGAGGCCACCATCATGCTAATGGCTTCCTCACCCTCCCCTCCCACCCAGCGCCTTGCAGAGAGACCCAGTAAACCCACACAGACATCAACACACATGCTGAAGAGGGACGCATGGCCTTATCCATACATGCACGTGCACACACACACACATACACACGAGTGCACTAAAGCCAGAGTGTACAAATGCAGACCCTGGAAGTGATTTGTGCCTGTGCATAAACCTACACACAGCAACCCACCACACTCACGAACGGCTCCTGTGCGTTTGGACGCAAGCACGGAAATGCCTTTGCATGTGTGCACTTGAAAACATGAGTGCAAGCACACACTCGCCAGCAGCCACATGCCTAGGGTTGCGCGTGTGTGAGCATTTGGCACACAGACACAGGCCCACAAGGACACGTGCACCCTATGCCTATGTGTTTCAAGCCCATGCTTCATGAAATTGAGGAGCAGAGAGAAGGCTGGGTTCCTGCAGAAAGGAGGCCTGGGAAGGGATTGTAGGAGGGACCTCAGACTGCGGAGGAGCCACCCTGGGCACATCTCTGGACTCTGCTGAGGGCACTGAGCTCTGCCCGCTCCTCTATGGTCAGAGCCTCTGTGGCCCCAGGTGGCTGGAGTGCCGATCCCCCTGTGTCCCCGCTCACCCCAGTCTGGGAAGTCCCGGTTGTTGCAGTATTTCTCCCCACGGGGCAGTGGGTAGAGGTAGTGCCCACACTTGCAGCTACGGATCATGTGGTCTTGGAAGCAGGAGCGAAGACAGGCCTGTGGGGGGTAGGGGGTTCATAAGGAGAGAACACAGGCACGGTCAGTGATGTCCCCATCCCAGCACCGGGGTGTCCAGAGAAGTGATGCCCAGGTTAAGGGAGCTGGGGGAGCTGGCGGAGGTGCTCCAGGGCTGAGAAGCTGTGCTGAGATGACTGGCTGCAGCTACAGACCCCACAGTCCTGGACGCTTTTGGGCTTCCCAGCAGGTCCCTGGACCCCGCAGAGGGACCTAGGCCAGACCCCAGTATCCCAGGTCTCACCATTCAGAGCTGGGGTCCTCACCCTTCACCATGGGGAAGAGCAGCTTGCTCCTGATAATAAAGCCAATGCTCAGAGAGCTCTCATTATGAGGATGCCAGCCTCCGTCCAAGCACTTGACACAGATGCACCCTGATAGGCCGCCAAGGAAGCCAGGCAGGCTAGCTCTGCGTTCCTTCCTCCCAGAGGGAAATGCCCAGGGAAAGCCAGGAGAAGGATGATCGCTGAGCGTCCTGACGCACAGTCAATGACAGAGGAAGTGAGTGGCCCACTGGTCTGCAGAACATCTCCTGGTGGGGCGAGGAAGAAGAGGGCTCCTGGGCAGCCTCCGGGAGGCTGGATGTGATGAGTCTCAACTCACTCGGCCCCAACATACTGGGCTTTCAGGTCATTCTGACCTGGTTTCAGTCCACTCAGAGACCAGCTATGTGTCCTAGGGCGAGTCATGACCCTCTGGGGCTCGGTTTACTCATAGGTGAAATAGGGTGTGGAGGACACCTGTCTCCTGAGGTTGGGAGGGAGGATTCAGGGCCACATCAGGTTCTCGGGAAGCACTGCACGGATGGAGGCAGCGGTTCTTGGTGTTTCATTGTCTATCCAGTTTCTTAGGTCCTGACTACCCTGGGCTCCTGGATACAGCCCTGGCCAGCATCTCCCTACCTCTCTCCACTCAGCCCCGCCCTCCACACCTGCGCCCCTGAGTCCCCTTCTGCTCCTCCTGCATCTCCGTCTCAGGTCCCTATGTGTTGCCTTTCTATTGTCCCTAATGAGTCTGTGGTTTCCTGAGGGCAGGAAATCGGGGCTGGATGGCAGATTAAATGGCATGGCCAGGAGGAGCCAGAGCTGGGTTTCCAGCAAGTGTTTCACATTCTTTTTTTTTTTTTTTGAGATGGAGTCTTGCTCTGTCGTTCAGGCTGGAGTGCTGTGGCATGATCTCGGCTCACTGCAACCTCAACCTCCAGGGTTCAAGTGATTCTCCCGCCTCAGCCTCCCGAGTAGCTGGGATTACAAGCACGTGCCACCACACCTGGCTAATTTTTGTATTTTTAGCAGAGACCAATTTTCACTATGTTGGCCAGGCTGATCTCAAACTCCTGACCTCAGGGGACCCACCCATCTTGACATCCCAAAGTGTTGGGATTACAGGCGTGAGCCACTGCGCCCAGCCTCTTTTTTACTTTTTTTTTTTTTTTGTATTTTTCCTGAGACAGGGTCTCACTCTGTCGCCCAGGCTGGAGTGCAGTGGAGTGATCGTAACTCTCTGCATCCTCAAACTCCTGGGCTCAAGCGATCCTCCCGCCTCAGCCTCTGAGTAGCTGGGACTACAGGTGTGCATCACCGTGCCCCACCAAGGTGTCTTATATTCTTGTAGACCTCTCTGTCTCATCTGGAAAGCGGGAGTCCTTCCCAGGCCCTGTGACGGAGGCTGGGGTGGGCTCAAGCCGGCTCCTGGTTGGAGTGGCCATGGGGATGGGCAGAGCTCCCGATCAGGGCCTGGCTCTTGGCTAAGTTTTCTGGCCTGAGTGGCTACCACACCGGAAGAAACGAGAAGCGCAGTTTTCCTGGAATGAAGTTTCTGGGGCTGGCGCCTTCTTCTCCATGTTTCCCACCTCCCTGTACTGCTCTGTCTGTCTGTCTGTCTGTCCCTCCAGAGGCTCAGATGACGGCTAGAGTTCTCCATAATGGGCAGAAGTCCCTCCAGACGCGAGGTGGCCAAACCAGCCAAGCAATGGGTGGGCAGGTGGGCACCAGGAGGGTCATTTCCTGTGACTACAGGGAAAGGCAAACCATGCCATGCTCGGGCACCCAGACACTGAGGCTGGCATTGGGCTGCCCTCTTGTTATGCCTCAGTGCACTGATCTGCCAACGCAGACTGGGCTGGAGAGGAAGTATCAGCGAGTGGTCATTTTTGTCACCTTTGCAAGGATTCAATCTGCCCTCTCCAAGGGGGCCAGGACTAGGGGCAGGTCTGGGTTAACTCTGGAGATCAGGACAAGAAGGAAGCTGCCAGCTACAGCAAAGAGGATTGAGGGCAGATACAAAGAGGGACTTCCAGTGGGTGCAGTGGCTCATGCCTATAATCCCAGCATTTTGGGAGGCCAGAGTGGGAGGACTGCTTGAGCCCAGGAGTTCGAGACTAGCCTGGGCAACATAGCAAGACTCTGTCTCTGCAAAAAATTTTAAAAATTAAGAAATTAGCCAGGCACAGTAGCTCATGCCTGTGGTCCTGGCTACTAGGGAGGCTAAGGCAGGAGGATCACTTGAATCCAAGAGTTCAAAGCTGCAGTGAGCTATGATGGCACCGCTGCACTTCAGCCTGGGTGACAGAGCAAGACCCTGTCTCTCTTTTTTATTTTATTATTTTATTTTTTGAGACAAGGGTCTCGCTCTGTCACTCAGGCTGGAGTGCAGTGGCATGATCTCAGCTCACTGCAACCTACACCTCCCAGGTTCAAGCAATTCTCTTGCCTCAGCCCCCTGCGTAGCTGGGACTACAGTCGTGTGCCACCACGCCTGGCTAAATTTTTTTTTTTTTTTTGTATTTTTTAGTAGAGATGGGGTTTTACCATGTTGGCCAGGCTGGTGTTGAACTCCTGACCTCAAGTGTGATCCACCTGCTTTGGCCTCCCAAAGTGCTGGGATTACAGGCGTGAGCCAGCATGCCTGGTTATCTCTTTAAAAATAATAATAATAAAGACCGGGCATGGTGGCTCATGCTTGTTATCCCAGGACTTTGGGAGGCCAAGGCGGGTGGATCACAAGGTCAGGAGTTCAAGACCAGCTGGCCAACTTGGTGAAACCCTGTCTCTATTAAAAATACAGAAAAATTAGCTGGTGTGGTGGCAGGCGCCTGTAATCCCAGCTTCTTGGGAGGCTGAGGCAGAGAATTGCTTGAACCTGAGGCGGAGGTTGCAGTGAGCTGAGATCATGCAACTGCACTCCAGCCTGGGTGACAGAGTGAAACTCCATCTTAAGAAAAAAAAAAAAGTAGGGGGATTTCTTAGGTAAATTGATGATGCATTTGAACTGGGGTCTGCCAATCCCAATTTCCTCATTCCTAGAATGGGAATGATAATAGCATCTACATCTTAGGGTTGTTGTGAAAGTTAAATGATGTAATGTATGTAAATTACTTACAACAGTGACTGCCTAACACATGGTAAGCCTGCTATTATTAGTTTATCAATAAATGCTGCTGTCATTAGTATATTATGGATTCATGTGGGGAGGGGGTTGAAAGACTAAACGATGATGGAATGTGTTCCAGCCCTTAGCACAGTATTTCACACGCAGTGAAAGCTTGATGGTGTTAGCTGCTATTTTTTGTTTTCATCTCGGGAAACCCCAGAGTAAGATCCCTATATTCCCCTGGGCGTCCCCAAGGGCACACCTGCTCAAGTGGGGATGAGAAGTGGCCAGTCCTAGGCCCTGGTGAGAGAGCTCAGGAAGGTGACTGGTCCCACAGGCCCAGGGGTGCCCCGTGGCCACCTACAAAAGCCCAGCAGAGCCAGCCTTGCTGGGGCCAGTTCTCCCGGAGGACTGAGGTCTCCGCCCCATAAACCCGGACAGGGGCCCTGGGGCATGAGGTGTGCGCCGCCTTCCCACCTGGATGGAGTAGGTCGTGTTGTAGTCACTGTAGAAGTTTTGGACGGGGACCTCGGAGCCATTCACGGTGCACGGGCTGTAGGGCTCCCCCATGCGCTGAAGCTTGTCCTGGGTTTAGAGGGGTTGCTTGAGAGGGGCCCTGGTCGCTCCAGGAAACCCTTTCTGCGCCTGCCTTCCATCAAGCATGCGGGGATAGAGGGCTGTGGACCCCTGCAAGTGCCAGAGGGGGCGCCAGAGGGCTCACCTTCCCCTAAAGCTTGGCCACCCTGAGGGGGTTCCAGCCAAAAGGAAGGCAGGCCAGGGCTGGGGGGCCCGGATCTCCTCCTCCCAGGCCAAGGGAAGTTGGCCCTGGACAGGTGGGCCCCCACCCTCAGACCCTCTAGGACTGCCCTTGGGCTCTGGACATACCACGAGTACCCCGATGGACGTCTCTGTCCCCGACATGGCATAGATTCCCTCGTCTCTGATGAAGGGGTATGACCTCTGCTCGTGAAGCATCAGCCTGACCCCAGCCGTGGACGCGAGGAAGGGGACGTAGTCTTCCTGGCCTATGTCCAGGATCAACTTCAGGCCTGTGGGGAGGGTGAGGTGAGGGCTGCCTGAACTTGTTCCTGAGGCAGAAAGGAGACCCCACTACCCACTTCTCCAAGCTCCCTCCAGCCAGGGGACCTCCAGGGACCGCCAAGGAGGCTGGCTCCACTTTGCAAAAACTCAGTACTCAAATATTGCTTGCCTTCTGCAAAGCCCCATCATCTCCAAGGCAGGCTCTGACGTAGCCTCCTCCCTGGGTGTCTCTTGCCTCTCCATGATCTCTTTTCTGATCAGGAGGTAGATCTAGGAGGCACGGCATGGCCATGGCCCACCCACACCACCCTGCCTCACACCACAGGTGCCCTCGCTGTCACCGTTCAATGCCTCCGAGCTTCTGCACACCTTCCTCCTGCTGTGCCTTTGCAAATGCTGTTCCCTCACTCTGGAGTGCTGTTCCCTCACCTGGAATGCTGTTTCTTGCTCTGGAATGCTGTTCTCTCACCTGGAATGCTGTTCCTCAATCTGGAGTGCTATTCCTCAATCTGGAGTGCTATTCCTCAATCTGGAGTGCTATTCCTCAATCTGGAGTGCTATTCCCTCGCTCTGGAATGCTGTCTCTGCCACTTCCCTTCCCCCTAGAAACACGTGCTCTTCCTTCAGATCTCAACCAGCATCACTTCCTCCAGAAACCTTCCCTGATGGCTCAGACGAGGTGTCAGGGTCTTGGTTGTACGCTCTCCTTAGCCCTGGAACTTTCCTTCTGAGTACCTGCCTCATTTGTGTGATTCTTCTTTTATTGTCTGTCTTCCTTCCCCACTTGACTGTTATCAAGGGAAGGGACTGGACCCAGTCTCCCACGCACCACAGTCCTGAGCTATGTGGAGCTGAGTCTGTCTGGTTAAGACAGTAAGGGCTGGTTGAGTACTTGCTGCCTCCTGGGTGCTTTGCTAAGGGCTTCATTAAATGTGAGCTCCTTGGCCGGGCACGGTGGCTCACACCTGTAATCCCAGCACTTTGGGAGGCTGAAGCAGGCAGATCACTTGAGGTCAGGAGTTCAAGACCAGCCTGGCTAACATTGTGAAACCCCGTCTCTACTAAAAATACAAAAATTAGCCAGGCATGGTGGCAGGCTCCTGAAATCCCGGCTACTTGGGAGGCTGAGGCAGGAGAATTGCTTGAACCTGGGAGACAGAAGTTGTAGTGAATTGAGATTGCACCACTGCACTTCAGCGGGGATGACAGAGCAAAACTCCGTATCAAAATAGAAAAGAAAAAATACAAAAATTAGCTGGACATTGTGGCGCATGCCTGTAATCCCAGTTACTTGGGAGGCTGAGGCAGAGTTGCTTGAACCCCGGAGGCGGAGGTTGCAGTGAGCCAAGATCACATCACTGCACTCCAACCTGAGCGTGAGCGAGGCTCCATCTCCAAAAATAAAATAAAAGAAACATGAGTTCCTTGGATGCTCACAAGGGCCACATGATGGAGGTACTAGTATTGTCCCCATTTTACAGATAGAGAAACTGAGGCACAGAGAAATGAAAGGACTTGTCTGAGGTCTTCCAGTGAGGAAGTGCTTTTGCTGGGCTTCTTACACAGCAGCTGGCTGCCTGACTATAATCATCTGCATCTGGAAGTAAGTTGACTGGCACCTCTGTGACAGTGCTCTCAGCAGCACGGGGGCTAAGTGAAAGGCACTCAGCTCACCTGCCCCACTCTTGGCCAGCGGCCCTGACGGTCGCTGAATGACAGCCTGCCTCTTGGTGGCTGCAGAGATCAGAACCTGAAAGATGGGAGGAGGGATCCACTCCCACCTGTGCCTGGCTCACAAGCCCAAAAACCACAGCCAGCCTGAGTCCACCAGCCCTTCTCTAGCGGTCAATGCAACACCTGAGCCCCGAGGGAGGGGGAGCCGTCATCCCCCATGCCCCATTTCCTCACTTCCATGGACTCCTTCAGCTTCTGTGTGTCTCTGTCTTTCTTTAAGAATTGTACAGCCGGGCACAGTGGAACACATCTGTAATCCCAGTACTTTGAGAGGCCAAGGAGGGCAGATTGCTTGAGCCCAGGAGTTTGAGACCAGCCTGGGCAACAGGAGGAAACCTCATCTCTACAGAAAATTAGCCACCTGCAGTCCCAGCTCCTCAGGAGGCTGAGGAGGGAGGATCACCTGAGACCAGGAGGTCGAGGCTGCAGTGAGCCGTGACCATGTCATTGCACTCCAGCTTGGGCGACAGAGCGAGACCCTGTCACAAACAAACAAACAAAAAACCAAAACTGTACACCAGAGGGGCAGAGGGACTAAGAGACTAAGTGTTATGTGTTTCTTTTCTTTTTCAAATTTGTATAAATGTGAGTGGTACAAGCACACTTTTGCTACATGGAGTTATTGTACAGTGGTGAAGTCTAGGCTTTTAGTGTAAACTTCACTGGAATCCTATATACTGTTCTCATTAATTTCTTGCCCCTCACCTGCCTCCTACCCTCCCATGCTCTAAGTCTCCGATGTCCATCCTTCCACACTGTGTGTCCACCTGTGCACATCATTTAGCTCCCACTTACAGGTAAGAACATGCAATGTCTTTTGGTCCATGTATTAACTGCATGATCCTGGACAAGTTGTTTAAAAACTGCTCAGAATACTCAGCGTATATGGAGCATTTCCTACTTCCTAGGCAGTTGAAACAATTTACCACATTGCATCATAGTGACTCACAAGGCATATACTATTTACTCATCATAATGGCTCACAAGGTAGATTCGATTTACTATACTAAATGCTCTGCTCTGCTACTATATACTAATGTATGAATGGGGAGACTAAGGCTTTGAGAAGGTTGCTCTGGAGCTCAGGAACACCCTGCAAATAAATGGTGGGGCTGCAGTGGTGCGATCATGGCTCACTGCTGCCTTGACCTCCCCAGCTCAAGCAATCTTCCTGCCTCAGCATCCTGAGTAGCTGGGACTACAGGTACGTGTCATCATGCCTCGCTAATTTTTGTACTTTTTTTAAGAGATGGGGTTTCACCTTATTGCCCAGGCTGGTCTCGAACTCCTGGGCTTAAACAATCCTCCCACCTCGGCCTCCCAAAGCGTTGGGATTACAGGCATCAGCCACCATGCCTGGCTGAACCTTGAGCTCTTGACCACGAAGCTGTGCTGCTTCCAAATCCTCACTTTGCTCATCAGCAAAACGGGAACACCAGTTGCTACCCCAGGGATTCTGAGCATTGCAGGAGGGAATGGCTGAGGAAGCGCCTGGCCTCCCCTGGCACACAGCAGGAGCCTCAGTAGTGGTCACTCCGCTTGATGCCGCATTAGTCCCCCCTCAGGCCCACCCTGCAACAGCTGATGGTATTTCAGTCCCACATCATAGGGGTGGTTAAAGCCTCTTGGCTCTGGCCCCAGGATAAACCAAAACTCACCAAATTCAGGTCCAGGGTTGGCCGAAGGAAGTGCCTTCTCTGTCATGCCCCAGTTGAAGATGTAACAGTTGCCATAGTGAGGGTAGAAGATGGACGTGAAGTTCCTAAAAGAAACAGCATCAGCTGCAGGGCAGGTTCCACCACAGACAATGCCTTCCCCGACTATCTGCTTTCCACCCTTCGTTTCCTCCTTGGAGGGGCTCCGAAAGGGAGAGGCAAGCAACACGTCATTCTGTCCATCCTCTTGCAAAAACCAGAGAGGGGATTCCCAGGCTCCCTTGGGAAAGCAGGGGAAGGGAATTTCTCTGGAGTTGGGGCTCAGGCTCTCTGGTTTAGCTGTGAGTTATGAAAAAGAACTTTCTGGCCGAGCCTGGTGGCTCACGCCTGTAATCCCAGCACTTTGGAAGGCCGAGGTGGGAGGATCGCTTGAGGCCAGGAGTTTGAGACAAGGCTGGGCAACATGGTGAGACCCTCATCTCTACAAAAAACACAGAAATTAGCCAGGTGTGGTGGTGCATGCCTGTAGTCCCAGTTACTTGGGAGGCTGAGGTGGGAGGATTGCTTGAGACCAGGAGTTCGAGGCTGGAGTGCACCGCTGCACTCCAGCCTGGGTGACAGAGTGAGACCCTGTCTCTAAAACACAAAACAGCAACAACAACAACAACAACAACAAAACGAAAAAGAGCTTTCTTAGATGTTTTCATCTGTCTCACATACACCCCAAAAGAGGCACATCCATGTCCTCACCCTCAGAACCTGCAAGTGTGACTTTATTTGGAAAAAGGGTCCTTGCAGATGTGACTAAGGATCTCCAGATGAGGTCATCTTGGATTATCCAGGTGGGCCCGAAATTCAATGACAAGTGTCCTTAGAAGACACAGAAGAGAGACAGATACAGAGGAGAAGTTCATTGAAGACTGAGGCAGGGGCCTTCAGACATAAGCCGAGGAACGCCTGGGCCCACCAGAAGGCTCAGGGGAGGCTCCCTCCTTGCCTCTTCTGTTGACGGGTGTGCTGGAGTTCATGAAACCCTGTTCGGTCAACATGTATGTTCTCAAGTCTCCAAAGTAAGCAGCTTTAAAAAATATCTCTTGATGTTTTTATATTATTCTTTTTTTATTTATTAAAAACAAGAGGAGGTTGGGAACAGTGGCTTATGCCTGTAATTCCAGCACTTTGGGAGGCCAAAGTGGGAAGATCGCTTGAGCCCAGGAGTTTTGTTTGTTTGTTTGTTTGTTTTGAGACAGAGTCTCGGTATGTTGCCCAGGCTGGAGTGCAGTGGTGTGATCTCACTCCAGGCTGAGGAGAATCTCAGCGATTCTCCTGCCTCAGCCTCCCAAGTAGCTGGGACTACAGGCGCCCGCCACCTCGCCCGGCTAGTTTTTTGTATTTTTTTTCAGTAGAGACAGGGTTTCACCAGGTTAACCAGGATGGATGGTCTCGATCTCCTTACCTCGTGATCTGCCCGTCTTGGCCTCCCAAAGTGCTGGGATTCCAGGCTTGGGTCACCGCGCCCGGCCTAATTTGTGTATTTTTAGTACAGACGGGGTTTCATCATATTGGCCAGGCTGCTCTTGAACTCCTGACCTCAGGTGATCCACCCACCTTGGCTTCCCAAAGTGCTGCAATTACAGGCATGAGCCACTGCGCCTGACTGAGCCCAGGAGTTTGAGACCAGCCTGGCCAACGAATTGAGACCCTGTCTCTAAAAAAAAAAAAAAAAAAAAGCCAGGCATGGTGGCGAGTGTCTGTAGTCCCAGCTACTTGGTACTTGGGAGGCTGATGTGGGAGGATCACCTGAGCCTGGGGAGTTTGAGGCTGTATTGAGCTGTGACTGCACCACTGCACTCCAGCCTGGGCAACAGAGTGAGACCCTGTATCAAAAAACAATAATAAATTGTAAAAAGTTAAAAATAAAAACCAGAACAAATGAGAGTAAGTACATCAAATAACACACACACACAAAACGTCACCTGCCATGCCGTATTGTCTCTGAAGCCCTTATGCTCCACAGCAAACTTTCACTGAGTGACTTTTATGGGCCAGGCCTGTGCTGAATCTTTCTGTGTACATGATCTCATTTAATTCTCAAAATAACCCCACGAGGGCAGGCGTTATTTTCCCACGTTTTCAGATAAGAAAGCCATTTCCTGTATCTTTTGTCTCGGTCCGTGGCCTTGCAGAATGACCTGGGTCCAGGGCAGGCTGTGAAATGGGATATGGGGGCTGCCCCAAGCTCTGCCACTGTCAACAGATTTCAGCTGCTTACTCAACCTCTGAGCTTGGGTTTCCTCCGTGGTGCAAGGGGAAGCAGGAAGAAACCACATTTTTCCACCCAATCAATGTTTGTTGAGGTGGGTGCTGGGCTAAGGACACCAAGCAAAACAAGACAGGGCTGCCTTTTGTAGCTTCCAGTGTGGCTGAGGACAGAGAGTGGAATCCTATCAACCCCCGTCTCCTTCCAAGATGTGATTTTCCTATTTCTTTTTTCTCTTCTCTTTTCTTTCTTTCTTTCCTTCTTTCTTTCTTTCTTTCTTTTTCTTTCCTTTCTTTTTCTTTCTTTCTTCTTTCTCTCTCCTTCCTTTCTCTTTCTTTTCTTCTTTCTCCTTCCTTCCTTTCCTTCCTTTTCTTTCTTTCTTCTCTCTTTTCCTTTCTTTTCTTTTCCTTCCTTCCTCCCTTCTCCCTTTCTCTCTTTTCTTTTCTCCCTTTCTTTCTTTCCTTCCTTCCTTCCTTCTTCTCCTTCCTTCCTTCCTTTCTTTTTCTTTCTTTTCTTTTCTCTCCTTCTTTCTCTCTTTCTCTCTTTCTTTCTTTCTTTCTTTCTTGACAAAGTCTTACTCTGTAACCCAGGCTGGAGTGCAGTGGCATGATCTTGGTTCACTGCAACCTCTGCCTCCTGGGTTCAAGCAATTCTCCTGCCTCAGCCTCCTGGGTAGCTGAGATTATAGGCGGGCACCACCACGCTTAGCTATATATTTTTTTGAGATGGAGCTTCACTCTTTCACCCAGGCTGGAATAAAGTGGTGACATTTCAGCTCACTGCAACTTCTGCCTTCCGGGTTCAAGCGATTCTCCTGCCTCAGCCTCCCGAGTAGCTGGGATTATAGGTGCCTGCCCCCACAACCAGCTAATTTTTGTATTTTCAGTAAAGACGGGGTTTCACCATGTTGGGCAGGCTGGTCTCGAACTCTTGACCTCAGGCGATCCACCCACCTCAGCCTCCCAAAGTGCTGGGATTACAGGCGTGAGCCACCGTGCCTCGCCTAATTTTTGTATTTTTAGTAGAGATGGGGTTTCACTATGTTGGCCAGGCTGGTCTTGAACTCCTGACCGCAGGTGATTTGCCCACCTCAGCCTCCCAAAGTGCTGATATTACAGGTGTGAGCCACCAGGCCGGGCTCCAAGATGTGACTTTGGTCTGTCCACCTGTCTCCACCTCAGACACGCCCACCCTGACCCAAGCCACCAGCATCTCATGTCTGGATTCTTGCTGGAGCCTCTGCCTCTGCTCATCCTTAAGGTCTTCCTTCTGTACAGGTCAGGGTGATGGTTTAAATTTGCGAGTCAGACTATGGCACTTCCTTTCTGAGAACCCTCCAAAGGCTTCTTGTCACTCACAGAATAAAGTGCAAAGGCCATATGCTGGCCTTCTATGTCTCGTTCCTTACACTCCAGCAACACTCTAGATGTTTCCAAGCTCAAGGCTTTTGCCGCTGTTGTCTTTTGTGCCTGGAATAGTCTCTAACCAGCTCTGCAGACACTGGCTTCTCCCCATCCTTCAGCTTTTATCTGCTCTAAGGCCTCCCCTGAACCCCTATGCAAAATGATGGACTTGAACTATTAGTTAATAGTACTTTATTACTAATAGTAATAGACTTTTCTACCTAGTTACTCTAGATCTTTTCCACCAGTTTATTTATATGTATGTATTTATTTATTTTGAGATGGAGTTTCACTCTTGTCGCCCAGGCTGGAGTGTAGTGGCATGATCTTGGCTCATTACAACCTCTGTCTCCCCGTTCAAGCGACTCTCCTGCCTCAGCCTCCTGAGTAGCTGTGATTACAGGCAGGCACCACCACGCCCAACTATTTTTTTTTTTTTTTTTGAGATGGAGTTTCGCTCTTTCACCCAGGCTGGAGTGAAGTGGTGCCATCTCAGCTCACTGCAACTTCTGCCCTCTGGATTCAAGTGATTCTCCTGCCTCAGCCTCCCGAGTAGCTGGGATTACAGGCATGTGCCACCACAACCAGCTAATTTTTGTATTTTTAGTAGAGACAGGGTGTCACCATGTTGGCCAGGCTGGTCTCGAACTCCTGACCTCAGGTGATCCACCCGCCTTGGCCTCCCAAAGTGCTAGGATTTCAGGCGTGAGTCACTGCACCTGGCCCTTCCACCAGTTGATTATCTTCTTTATCAGATACATCAGAATCTGAAATCATCTCCCCCCGCCTCCTTTTTTTTTTCTTGGTGGAGACAGGGTCTCACTCTGTTACCCAGGCTGGAGTGCAATGGTGTGATCATAGCTTACTGCAGCCTCAAACTCCTGGCCTCAAGATATTCTCCTGCCTCAACCTCCTGAGTAGCTGGGACTACAGGCATGAGCCACCATACCCAGCTAATTTGTAAAATTTTTTGTAGAGATGGGGTCTTGCTATGTTGCCCAGGCTGGTCTTGAACTCCTGGCCTCAAGGGATCCTCTGGCCTCAGCCACCCCAAATGCTGGGATTACAGGCATCCACCACTGTGCCTGCCCTGAAATTATCTTCTTGACTTAATTGCTCACTTAGTTGTCTCCTGCTTAGAACATAAGCCCGGGGAGGGAGCATGACCTTGTCTGTCTAGAAGGCGAAGAGCTCAGAGGTCAAGAGCACAGACCACAGAGCCAGCCTGGTTGATTTCAATTCTGGCTGTGTCCCTTAGGCAACTGGTGAGCTTGGGGACGGTTACTTCACCTCTCTGTGCCTCACTTTCCCTATTTGTAACACCAGATAATACTGGCAGTCACCCTACATGACCGTGGCAAGGGGTGGATGCCTAGCATACTGTAATACTCAAAAAATCTTGGCTGCTTCTGTTCACAGCTCTGTGCCCAGGGTGTGATACAGA